CTTCCCTCCCTCCAAGTAGCCTTAAAAAGGACACAGAATAGGTTTGAACTGAAGCAGAGTTTGGGGCCCAGAAAAGCTATGACAAACCTAGAGAGCATGTTAGAAAGCAGAGACATCACCTTGCTGACAAAGGTCCATACAGTCAAAGCTATGGTTTTCCCAGTAGTCATGTACCGATGTGAGAGTTGTACCGCAAAGAAGGCTGAGAGCCAAATAATTGATGCTTTCGAATTATGGTGCTGGAGAGGAGTCTTTGAGAGTTCCTTGGACAGCAAGGCAATCAAACCAGTCAATCCTAAAGGAAATCAACCCTGAATATTCATTGGAAGGACTGATGCTGAAGCTCCAACATGTTGGCTGCCTGATGCGAAGAGCCGGCTCGTTGGAAAAGACTCTGATGCTGGGAAGGATTGAGGGCAGGAGGAGAAGGGGATGACAGAGGATGAAACGGTTGGATGACATCACCGACTGGATGGATATGAATCTGAGCAAACTCCGGGAGATGGTGAAGGACAGGGAAGCCTGGCGTGCTGCAGTCCATGCGGTTGTAAAGACTTGGACACGACTTAGCGACTGAACAACAACAATAACTGGTCCCTCTATGGAGCTCTCTGAAACTTATTTGAGTGAGGAAGCAGAGTGCTGAGAGACTCAGAGATCTGCGTTCCGGATGAGAGGAAGGGGCAGCGGATAAGGAGCCAGTGATCAGCCAGCCCAGCTGCTCTTGTGGAGCTCAAATCAAAGCAGGAGGCGGACATGCTGGCAGTGAGTGGGGATCCGGAACCTGAGTCTGGCCACCTGGCAGTTTCCAGACTCCCTGGACCAGCTGGCTCCTCATGCACCCTGAGCTCCTCCCCAGTCCACACTGGGCTGCTGGCACTCAGCCACTCTCAGAGCAGTCCTCGAAAGTGAAGTGGAAGGAGTCGAAATTGCATGCAAATCAGGGACAACTGATCACTGGACAGCCTTGGGGAATTGCCTGCTCTGCCCAGACCAGACCTGACTTGTCCTTTGTGAAAAAGGGTTACTTTTCAGGATTAATGAAAAAAAATACAGCTGAAAAAACATGGCTTCAGAAACCCAAGTCAAAGGGCTTGGAGTTGTGGCTTAATGATGGTGGCTTCTGGCCCAAACTGAGGTGTCTCTGTCCTGTTTTTTCTCCTTCTCTAGCCCCCTGAATCAGTTCCCTGGAGACTCAGATGGTAAGTTCAGTTTAGTTGCTTAGTGGTGTCCGACTCTTTGCAGCCCCATGGACCTCAGCACGCCAGGCTTCCCTGTCCATCACCAACTCCCGGAGCTTACTCAAACTCATGCCCATCAAGTCAGTGATGCCATCCAGCCATCTCATCCTCTGTTGTCCCCTTCTCCTGCCTTCAATATTTCCCAGCATCAGGGTCTTTTCAAATGAGTCAGTTCTTCGCATCAGGTGGCCAAAGTATTGGAGTTTCAGCTTCATCATCAGTCCTTCCAATGAATATTCAGGACTGATTTCCTTTAGGAAGGACTGGCTGGATCTTCTTGCTGTCCAAGGGACTCTCAAGAGTCTTCTCTAACACCACAGTTCAAAAGCATCAGTTCTTCAGATGGTAAAGACTCTGCCTATAATACAGGAGACCCGGGTTTAATCCGTGGATCAGGAAGTTCCCCTGAAGAAAATGGCTACCCATTCCAGCATTCTTGCCTGGAGAATTCCATGGACATAGGAGTTTGGTGTGCTACAGTCCATGGGGTTGCAAAGAGTCGGACATGACTAAGCGACTAACACACTTGAGAAGTAACACATTCAAAGGCATCAGCTTTGATGGCTTGGGCCTGGATCAGGAATACCATCTCTGTTACTTTTTTCTCCATATAAATCGAGGGGAAACAATGAAAGAGAAGGAATTGGCCACCAGACAGGAGAGTGGGCAGCACCCATGTGAGGGGACTGTGTGGATGGATGGAGATGCACAAGGGTTGTCAGAACTCAGGTCTGATGCTTGCAGCCTGCTGTCATCATGCAGAGATGTGGGTCTCTGGAACTTCCATATTCCCCCCAAGCACTGAGACCCAAGGCTCCCCAGGGACCCTGCTTGTCTTTTCTCTCCTCCTCCTCTGGCTAGGCTAAATCCTTTTCTCTGCCTTGGCCACTGGCCAGCCACCCCCAAGCCTTCAGGTCCATGGGAGATGCTGTGGGGTGAAGAGGACGCTGATTGGACACTGGCTGCAGGCTCCGCCCTTTGGGAGGAGCCAGTGCTGATATGAATGGACAGCCCAGGCCTCCTGGACGCTGGAACCCAGGCGCAGAGCCAGAATTTGGAGCACATGTACTGGTGCCAGGAGGCTAAGAGGCTCCCACGGTCCTAAACCAGTACCCTCGTTCCCCACCCCCATGTAAACAAGTAAACCCAAGCATCCTGCCTGTTACCCTGTGTCCCCGAAGGAAAGCAGCCATTCTCGGGGCTTCCCTGGTGGTCTAGTGGCTAAGACTCCCAGTTCCCAATGCAGGGGGCCCAGGTTTGATCCCTGGTTAGGGAATTAGGTCCCATGTGCCACAACTGAGAGTTCACATGCCGAAACTAAAGATCCCGTGTGCTGCAACAAAGACTGAAGATCCTGCATGACACAACTAAGATCTGGCACAGCCAAAAAAATAAATACATTTTTTAAAAAAGAAAGAAAGAAGAAGGAATTCTCTCTGGAAAACTCCAGGGCACTTCCCGCTGTCCATAGGCTAGAGGTGCAGCCTTGGGAGTACAAAGGAGCCCAACACACAGTGATCGTGTCAGAGGGTGGGGGCTCCGACTCCACTGGGGAACCAGAGTTTGGACGTTGGGAGACACAGAACAGGTCTTGTGCTTTTTTGGTCAGAGTCCGTTCTGGCCCATTTCCTGGAGGATGAAGGATCCCACGAGAGCTCTATGGGTACCTCATGAGGATTTAGGCTCAACATTTCAGCTAATGATAAAATGGAATATTTGCCTTTTTTGAGTTTCTACTTTGAGGCCCATGGCGGGTAGGGGGAGGCTGGCTCAGTCAGGGCAGGACCCCCTATCCCACCCCCCCCAACCCCGGCCAAAGCACAACCTTGGAACATTACCTGAAGACCCCCTTGACTCCTCATTGGGACCTGTTGATCCTTGGTTCTTCGGGCTTAACAGTTACCCTGAGATTCTGACATTTAAGTTTTTAAAATTTTTATTATTTAAAAAATCTTATTTATTTTTTGACTGTGCCCTGCAGCATGTGGGGTCTCAGCTCCCCAACCAGGGACTGAACCTGTGCCCCCTTCGGTGGAAGCAGAGTCTTAACCACCAGACACCCAGGGAAGTCTCCTGACAATGGGTTTGATGAATTCCTCATCACCAAACAGCAAAATTTTCCATCAATGTGCTCATGGACCCCGATTCTCACAGAGGCCCCCAAAGGGCAACTGACATGCATGTCTGGGGGTCAGGGGACACCCAACAAGCTAGATCTTCTTGGCTTCCTGGGAGGGAAGAGGCTGGGTGCTGTCAGCGCCGAGGGGACTTCAGCCCATTTCCTTCCAGCCCCATTTTCAGGACAGAAGGCCTCCCGTCTTTTCGGATTTCATTTTTCCACGAACAGAAGGGGCAGCTGCTCCCACCACGGGCTCCCTGGTCTCGAGAGATGGAGTGGCTGCGGGCAGCAGGAAGGGGCAGATCAGGGTGCTCAGCTGGGTCACCTGCAACCCTCCTCTGCCACACAGCTGTCCTCACCTACCTGACCCTCCTAATCTGGAGTCAACAGGGAGTTAGCAAGCAGATACCAAATATCAAGTTCTGTCCTGCTTTGGGCGGAGACGAGTGCAAGGGTAGGCTGGCTGTGTCCCAGCCCCACGGGGTGAACCATCTTTGCCTTTAATCAACCAGAAGCCCTCTGCCAAGTCCCAGGAACTGCTTCCTGGCCTGGGAGCTGGAAAAATACCGATGAGTCTACCCACAGAGCAGGAACAGGGAGGCAGATTAGAGAACGCACTTGTGGACACAGCAAGGGGAGGAGGGGGGGACGAATTGAGACAGTAGCATTGACATAATACACTACCATGTATAAAATAGCTAGCTAGCTATTGTTTAGTCGCTAAGTTGTGTCCGACTAGTTTGCAACCCCAGGGCCTGTAGCCTTCCGGGCTCCTCTGTCCATGGGATTTCTCAGGCAAGAATACTGGGTGTGGGTTGCTATTTCCTTCTCCAAGGGATCTTCCTGACCCAGGGATGGAACCCATGTCTCCTGCATTGGCAGGCGGATTCCTTACCACTGAGCCACAGAGAAGCCCATGATAGTCAGTGGGAAGCTGGTATGTAAGACGGGGAGCTCAGCTTGCAGCTCTGTGATGACCTAGAAGGGTGGGATGGGGGAAGGTGGGAGGGAGGCTCAAGACGGAGGGGATATACATGTATACTTACGGCTAATTCACATTGTGTACAGCAGAAACCAACGTAACATTATGAAAAAATTATCCTCCAATTAAAAATAAATTTTAAAAAAGTGAACCAGACTGAGTTGGGAATTGCTCACATGTATTTATTTCACAAGTCGGGGGGGGGGGGGGGGGACTTTCACCAGTAAGATACCACCAGATGAGACACTGTGAACCCCAAATTGGGCAGGGACAGAGTTTGGTTCTGGGCCGGGCTTGTCCGGACAGCATGAGGGAGACAGATGGGAACCGGCGGAAGGGCAGCCTTCCATCTGGGGCGGCACAGCGGGCAAGGCCCAGCCACGTCCTCCCGGCCAATGACCGTGGCCACCCCCTCCCCACCTCCGGCAAGCTTCTTCGCATCCTTGACCTGATCCGGGTGGGCAATAAAGCGACAAGTCCAGGGCCACACCTCTACGTCTGCGCTACCATGAACTCAGACGCACACACCCAGATACACACACACACACACACACACACACACACACACCCCATGCACGCACTAACGCGCCCCACCAGGCACACAGCCTCATACGCATGCACACGCGTCCATATATTAACTCTGATTTATAAGTGAACCCTAACCAGAGGGCAATCGGAAAAATATTATTACTCTTCCGAGAGGACTCAGCTGCCTTCTCCCGTCAGCCAGCAGAGTGCGGGGAGACACGAGATGAGCACCCTCCAGGGCCCTGGCCCCCTGGGCCGTGCCGATGGCAGTCTTTAAGCCCCAGGTGGAGGCTGTTTGCCGCCTCCGCTGTGGCAGTTCACGGCGCGTCTGGGGGATGCTCCGCCCTGGGCAGGCAGGGCGCAACAGCCCATTCCAGCCTGGGGCCCCTCCCAGCCGAGGCCGGCCGTGTGCTCTCTGGCTCCCTCTTGAGGACACAGGCGGAAGAGCTGGCACATAGGCCCGTAGTGCCCAGGTGACCAGGGAAGCATCCTCCCACGTCATCTCAGGGGTGGGAGTCCAGCGAAGTCCAAGGCCACCCTCTGGAAAGGTTTGGGGCGGTGATCTTGGGCTGTAAACGGGCATCTGAGCCGAGGCAGCCTGGAGGAAACTGAGTCCCAGGGCCTCGCTGCCTTCTTGGAGGAGGCGGAGGAGCTAGAATGTGGCCCAGGCCCCTCCCCTTTGTTGAAGGCTGCGGAGAAGCTGCTGTGAGATGAGAAAAAGGAGGGGCCCCTGCCAGTCCTGTCCTGACGGTGGATGGAAAGATGACCAAGAGGAGATGTGATGTGTTGCTCCTTGGTACCAGGTCCACATCCGGGCTGCAGAAGACACAGCTTCTGGGTTCCCAGAGAAGGGTCAGGGGCCTTTCCCAGGGTGCATGAGCCTCGGGAAGCTGGATGCCTGATGAAGATACAGAGTCTCCACCGGGGGCGGGGGGCTGCCCTGAAGAAGCCCCACTGAGCACCCCCCGCCGGTGTCTCGCTGTTTCTCTCCCAGTGTGGCTGGTCCAGAGGACGGCAGGCCCTGTCCCGGGGGCCCGGCTCCCCCACTACTTGATGGAGTTCTTGATCGTCCACCTCTGCCCCGTGCAGCTGCGGAGGGTGAGGTCAATGCCCGCCAGGCCTCGGTTCTCCACCTCCAGGCAGCGGCCGGTGCCTCTGTTCATGATGGCGCCGTTCTGGGAGGATGCGGGGGTGAGAGAAGGGGAGACAGACAGACAAGGAGGGAGACAGCAATGGAGAGACAGAGACAGGACCAGAGAAAGACGGACGACAGAGACAGAGACAGACAGAGACAGAGAAAGATGGACATCAGAGACAGAGAGAGACAGAGACAGAAGGACAGAGAGAGAGGCAGAGAGACACAGAAAGATACAGAGAATGAGAGAGACAGAAAGAGGAGAGGGAGACAGAGAGATAGCGATGGGGAGACAGAGACAGGACCGCAGAGACAGAGAGACAGAGATAGAAAGAGACACACAGAGAGACAGGGAGAGGCAGACAGGGAAAGGAGGTGGGGAGTGGGTAGAGAAAGAGATAATGACCATAGTGCCTGGCGGCACTTATATATTATAAGAGGGAAAGGCCCCTGGGATCCCCCCGAACACGCTTTGAGTCTAGCACCTGGCCTCGAGCTGGGAGACCTTGGGTTGCACTTTGTTGCTGCCCTTCCGAGGGAAGCCCGTGGCATCCTCACCTGCTCCGGGCCGCCTGCCCGGCCTGTCCGTGGAGGGCTCACCTGGATGAAGTTCCAGCGCTTGTACAGGCTGCTCTTGACCTTGTCACAGTCCAGGAGCTGGGGCAGCCGACTCTTGGCATTGTCCACCAGGCAGCGGGTGTCAGGGAGGAGCGTGGTGGTCCCCAGGGCGCCCAAGTGCAGGAAGCCCTCCTTGGTGTAGCGAGCCAGCTGGGGAGAAAGCAGAGTGGCAGGGCCGTGGGAGGCAGAGGGGAGACCACCACAAGGGGCCATGGGTGCCCCATGATGGTCCGGGTTGCAGTCCTGGCCGCCGTCTCAGGCCTGGAGCTGCCCCCCACCCACCCCAACCCCTCTCATAGGAGCGCCCCGCCCAGGAGGCCCTCGGCTTGCCAAGCCTGGACACAGATTCCCTGGCCCCCTCTGACTTCTTCCTAAGCATGTCCACGGTCAGTGTTTCAGGAGTCTGGCCTTCTGTTCAACCACACGGGGAGCAGGAATAAATGAAAAAGCGGGACATTCGAATTCTAATGTTGGCTCTGCTTCCAGCTGGCTGGGCCAACCCAAAGAAGTCACTTGACCTCTCTGAGCCTCCATTTCCTCCTCATTTGTTAACTGGGATCAATTAAATCTACCCTGCTGCAAAAGGGCCCAAAGAGGCAGCTCACTGAAAAGAAACAGGCATGTTAAAAAGCATGCAACATGTTAGGTGTTAAAATAAATAAAAATCAAAACAATGAGACACCATATTTTTAAAAAGAGAGATTATTTGCATTCTGTCAAGGTGAGCCTAAGATGGGCTGGAGGGAGGGTAAATGACTACCACCTTTCGAAAAGGAATTTCAAAATATGAACTTTGAACTTTTAAAATGTTTCTCTCCTTTGATCCAATCAATCTAGTTTTAAAAATCTTGGGAATTCCCTGGAAGTACAGTGGTTAGGACTCGATACTTTCATTGCTGAGGGCCCAGGTTCAATCCCTGATCAGGGAGCTAAGATCCTGTAACTGTGTGGCACAGCCAAAAACAAACAAACAAAAAAACCCAACCAAACAAAAGACCTTCCAACTATCCCAAGAAAATAATTATAACTGTGAACAAAAGTTTATGTAGGGAGGGTGGGGGACGAGGAGGACCAGGATGAAGGCAGTCAAGAAGTACAAACTTCCACCTATGAGATACAGAAGCACTAGGGATGTAATGTACACCATGATAAATATAATTAACACTGCTGTATATTACATATGAAAGTTAAAACAGTAAATCCTGAGTTCTCATCACAAGAAAAAAATTTCCTTTTTCTATTTCTTCAATTTTGTATCCATGTGAGTTGATGGATGTTCACTAAACTTAACTCTGACAATCATTTCAAGCTGTAAGTCAAATCATTATGCTGCACACCTTAAACTTATTCAGTGCTGTATTCCAGTTACATCAGTAAAGCTGGAAGAAAAAATTTACATACAGGGTATTTTGCATCCTCAGTCAGTCAGTCATGTTTGACTGTTTGTGACCCCAAGGACTGTAGCAAGCTCCTGTGTCTATGGAATTTTCCAGGCAAGAATATTGGAGTGGGTTGGTGTTTCCTACTCCAGGGGATTTACTGCAATGTTATTTCTAATGATGAAAAGGCAGAAATATCCTAAATGTGCAGTCCAGTGCTGGGCCTTGCCCTGTGCTCCATGTACTGCAACAAATGGTAGGTAGCATGGGATGGATTCCCAAAGTGGTCACATCTTTCTGGGCGACATGACTTTGCTGTAATTTCCATTAAGAAGTGGAGTCTCTTTCCTCATCCTGGAATACTGGTTGGCCTTGTGACTTGCTTTGACCAACAGAATGTAGTAGAAAGGAGGATATGTCTATTCCTGGTATACAGTTTGCCTATTTCCACCCTCTTGAAACCATAGTGCTACCGTGGCAGTGAGCCCAAGCTGGCCTGCTAGAGGATGGTAGACACATGGTTCAAGCAACCAGCTGGTTAACCATCAGACAAGTAGATGAGGTCATCATGGATCAGAGAGTGTTTGGCCAATCTGCTAGCTGATGGGAGACACACGAGTGAATCCAACCCAAATCATCTGAGCCTGGTCCAGATAACAGAACCACTCAGCTGATCTTTAGACTCATCAGTTCAGTTCAGTTCAGTTGCTCAGTCATGTCCAACTCTTTGCGACCCCATGAATCGCAGCATGCCAGGCCTCCCTGTCCATCACCAACTCCCGGAGCTTACTCAAACTCATGCCCATCAAGTCGGTGATGCCATCCAGCCATCTCATCCTCTGTTGTCCCCTTCTTCAAGTAATAATAAATGTATACTGTTTTATGCCACTAAAGTTTGGGGGTAGTTATTACACAGCGATCTGATACACAGATGATGTTGTCTGCCAACCCTTTGCACAACTAATTGTGAATCCATACTAGTTTGGTGTCTTGGCCTCTCTTGCCTGCTCATGTTGTATAAATCCCTATATTCCAATTTTTGAACAAATACATTCACCTGTCTTTCACACTCCTTTGGGGGCAGGGACTGTGTCTAATGTATTTCATTCCTTTCGAGGAGACAATCACAGACCAAGGGCTCCTGACATGGTTGTGAATAAGCACACGACAAATGTGATGAACGTCATTTACAAAATGCAGCCACGGCTATTTCTTGAAACTCCACAAACATGTCCTCTGTGTGCCCAGCCTGGGGACAGGCAGTGGAAATACAAGCATGAGGCTGTGTTCCCACTGAGATGATTCCAGTGCAGGCTGGCGAGATGCAAGCACAACCTTCATGTTTGTTCTCACGATCCTATGAGGGGCTGGAGCTGCAGTGATGATCATTAATAAACAAGAAATCCCCTAATCCATTACAAAATAATATTACCAGCCAGCATGTGTTGGAGGCATTCTTGGCCCCAGGGAAGAAATAATGTAATTTCTATAACAACCTATGAATTAGGTGCTACTACTCTTCCTGTTTCAAAGAAGAGGAAACAAGCCTGGAGACATCTGGTCAACCTGGCTGGGCCCTAGCTTCTATCCTTGGGTTCCCAGAGACCCAGTGGTTGGCAGCCCTGGCCCAGGAGCTGAGCAGCGGAGGGACCTCCTCTCAGATTGATCCTGGGCTTCTGAGATCCTGGGCATTTCTGGCCAGAAATGGAGCAGAAAAACAGCTCTGCCCGGGACACATGTGCTTTTTCTCTAGGGGATAAGATCCTCTGTAGGGATTTCTCTTCCAATGAAAACTGCTCAGAAACCCTCTGCTCTGATCCCCAAAGGGAGTCTTCCTGATCCCCTCAGAAACAAGTGACAGGGAGTTTATTAAATGCCCTTGAAAGAGAGAGATGTGGTTAACATGTGTTTTAAACCCAAATTAGTTTCAAATCAGAGTAATTGTTACAGGCAAAATGGTAAAAAAAAAAAAAAAAAAATCAGAGGCCCTCCCCCATTCCTCCTTCAACAATGTCTCTCTGAATATATTCAAATTCACCAAATGCAAAGTGATGAATGACAGCAAGCTGCCTTTATGTTCGGGGGAAAGATATACACAGCTGCTTATTGAAATTATGAATCAATCTATTATCCAGCAGGCACACGAGCAGCACTAAGAACATTAATTAACTGAGCGTATCTGTGACCCAGATGTTTAAAGAGCGAAGCTAAATGCCACTGGGATTAGAAGCTCTCCTTTCTGAGGTCTTTCAGGCCATGAAAACAGGGAGACCCAGACTTCCGGGACCTGTAAAGGCCAGCCCCCAGCCCCCAGCCAGGTGGGCAGGGCAGGAGAGGAGGGTACTGCAGGATTTCCGTTCTAGGGGAGTGCGGTTTCTCACACCAGGGGATGGATGTTTGGTTTGTTTCCACTTTGGGGCTATTCTAAATTACACCACTACAAACAGTCATGTATAAGTTTTGGTGTGAACATCGGTTCTCTTGGTTATACAAGTTCTCTCTCTCTCTCTCTTTTTTTTGCCCACTCTATATGTGGGATCTTAGTTCCCCAACCAGGGATCGAACCCTCACCCCCTGCATTGAAGTTTCAACCATTGGACCATCAGGGAAGTCCCCTCTTGGTTATACAGTTGACTCTTGAACAACACAGGTTTAAACTGCACAGGTCCACTTATACGTGGATGTTTTCAAGATGTATGTATAATACGATTGGTTGGTTCACTCTGCAGGTTTGGAACCACAGGTAAGGAGGGCCAGCTTCTTTTGCATTTCCTCCTAAGATCCCAGCTGAGACTCTGTGGGACCTGAACTGCTGAAGTAGGATTGTGACTGGTCCTCTTCCCTCCAGCCCTTCCCAGTTTCCATCTGTCCTCCCCGATCCTGCACGTTCAAATCCTATCATTCCCTGCCTCCATCCTCAGTGGCTCCCACGGCCCACAGATTTACGAATACACTTTCTCAACCATGATCTTCTACGGTAGGTCCCCCAACTCATCTTTTCAGTCTTAACTCTTGGTTTCTTGGCTTAGTCTGAGAGATGACTTGAAGTTTCTCAAAATCAGCCAACAGTCTTCCCTGTATAAAATATACACCGGACATCCCTGGTGGCCCAGGGGTTAAGAATCTGTCCCCTACAGGGGACACAGCTTTGAGCCCTGGTCCAGGAAGATTCCACATGCCGAACGGCATCTAAGCCCGTGTGCCACAAGTACTGAGCTCATGCTCTAGAACCTGCGAGCTGCAACTACTGAAGTCCGCTCACTCTAGAACCCTTGCTTCCCATCAAGAGAAGCCTGTGCGCTGCAACTAGAGAATACTTTGCTGCAACGAGAGAAAGCCTGTGCAGAGCAAGAAAGACCAGCACAACCAAAAATGAACAAAATTATTTTTTAAAATTCTTATTTTGAAACCGAATCCCCCCCAATTACACCTTCTCCTACCCCATCTCCCTTCCTTCCACAAAGCCACCCCACCATGTGATATATTTCAACTTATATACTTTGTTCTATTAATGTGTCTTTCCCTGTTAGAGACTTTTGTCTTTGTTGTTGTTTCAGCACCACAGCATTCTACTCATTGTTACATACCATAAGGACCAAGAAAAGTATCTCGCAAAAAGCAAATGCTCTATAAATGTCTTTTGAATTGAACAGGATTATTTTAGATTTGGCTGCTGGGCCCAGGAGGAGAAATAAATGTCATTATCTACAACCCTAATGCATTAGGAAAAAAAAAACCCTTTGAGCTCAAATACAATTAATTCTCATTTAG